AACTCTACGACTTGCAGTTAATTCAACCATGATATTATAACGTTTTAATCCAAATTTTGAATAACCAACTTCGAAATGTTCAAGTGATCTGTCTGAATAATAGTCTTCTATACTAATTTTTTCATCTGGTTTATCTACCACCGGAAATTGACTTATCACTCCATATTTTGGCTCACCTGGTTATTCAAATGATGGCGTCAATGGTATTCACATAGTTTTAAGATGTGATTAGAATACTGTTTAATTATTACCTCCCGTTCCACTAACATGTAGGTCTGTATTAACATAAAAAGTTCGATGTATAAGTATTAGCAAATATGTGAAGTAATTTATTTATCAATACTCACGAGATATTCCGGTAATACGTCCACTAACGGTGTATCTGCAAATTATGTTTATGAGTCATAATTTAGTAGATAAACTTTTATTTTCACGAGAAGATAAATGTACATAAAAAGTTCATCTTTGATTGACCACTAATTTCTATTCAATTTACATTAATCATACAATTTATATAAAAAGTTTTATCAGAGTTGTAAGTAGAAATGTCGGTAAAATAAATTTCATTGTAATGAAATTATTTCACAACTCTAGTTTAATTTTCCAAACATCTTTAATTGCAAGAATTCACTATTAAAAAAAAACTTTTATCCTCTTTTATTTAAAATTTTATTAATAATTTGACATTAAGTTATCACTATATTAATTTTTCTTTTAAAAAAAGAGGGTGTAAAATCTTTTTTTTTCACTAGTCAAAATTAAAATTTTTGACATGTTAAATAGTTGCCATTCAATATTGGCATTTGACCAGAACTCGAACAAACATTCAACAGCATTCAATCAACATTCTATACGATAGGTGAACGGCGTGTTGAATGACATATCGAATAGTGCCATTTGGTATGTCAAATTTTTTGATTTCGACCAGTGTTTACAGCGAAATCCTATAGCTCCAATAAAAACTTTCTATGGGCTAGGAGTCTATACTTAACAGTTACAAGAAGTGTTTTCAATTTTTTAAACCACTATAACTTTTTATTAAGAGATTTTAAAAAAATCTGACCGAGAGCCATATCAGTTCTACCAATATACTAAATATAAAGTTTCAATTTTCAAAATATATCAACTCTGACATTGATGAGACTTTGAAATGATATTTGGCATATATGTAGAGTTGATATAGAACTATAAAGTTATCGGGCAGAATTTTTTTTAAATCTCTTAGATAAAAGTTATAGTTGTTTAAAAAATTGAACCACTTCGTGTAACTGTTAATTATAGACTTCTTAATATCTACCTCTTTATCTTCATTTAAATATTACTCTGAACTTTATAATTAAGATCAATCAGAGAAGTCTCCTTTCCTATGAGACAAATGTTCATTCTTACCCTCCATTAGAATCCAAACCTTCAACATCGAACCCTACTTTAACAACTCCAAAAGGGAGACAGGGACCGGGGAACACATGTCCGTCTATCATAATTAAATAATTATAAAAAAAAAAGTTTATCGATTGAATTCTGATGAAATAAAATATTAAAACTAATATTAACCTTTAGCAGTTCCAATAAGAGGATCAACGAATCCAGTAACATTAGCACGATCATAAATTTCTAATTGTTCTTAAGTAATGTAATTTCAGATAAAATTTCACATTCTGAGATAATAATTATATGAAATTTAGATTTAATTTTTACCATCAGCGCTATTAAGTTCCTGATGTGATGTGTACAAAGATTCTCTGCCAGCAGGAATATAGTACAATATTACTAGGATCAGGATTGATATGAAAAATGAAAGAATAAAAATTTTTATCCCCTTATCCATAATTTTAATAGAAAAGATCCAAAGAACGAACGTTGTAAATGAAATGAAAACAATATTGTAGAATATTTATTATATAAATTCGTACTACTTTAGAAAACAAGGACCGACCTCGGCTACACAATTGCTGAGCACCTGTGAAGTCCCGATTATCATACGTGTAGCATCTGTGTGTAACATAGTCTATATTTGTCTTCCATATTCAGCATTACCTATCAAAAGATCGCCAAAACACTTGCTAGTATAAGGTAGATCGTGCCCAAATTTAATTGAATTCCAACAGCGCCAGGACATAGGATCAAACACGGTAAATCAATGCTATATATGGTATTTTACAAATCTTACTACGCATAATTTTTCACAAAATGTATAGCCTTAGTGGTTTAATATTTTAGGATAAAATTTTGCAAAGACTGATATTATAGCCCTATTAGCAAAGTTACGAAAATATTTCCTTAATCTTAAAGAATTTAAAAGAGTTACAAAGCCATTTCTTTAAATTTAAGGAACTTAAAAAGTGAATTAATAATTTAAAAAGTGAATTAATTAACTCTTTTTTTATGTTTAAATAAGAAATGTGGTTTCGTAACTTGGCTCGTAAAGATAAAATATTGGTCTATCAAAAAGTTTTATCCTGATATATTAAAGCGCTTATAGTAAAATTACTACCGTATAAAAATTTTTATATAATATATAATATGTGTAATTATTTTGGATTCAAAAATAATTACCTATATATACCAAATATAGGTTTGATTTACATAGTACATCAATTAGACAAAAAATTTCTCAGTACTAGCGCTAGTGTAATTTACTATACTATCCCTTAAACGATCAACTTAGCTTCAAATTTGATAGGACGAGTTTCCCACCACTCTGATTGGAGTATCTATGTTAATCAATCTTATAGTACTCCGATAGTGAAGTGGTGGGAAAATTATTAAACCCGCACTAGCTGGTTAGTGTCATTAGTTTGCTAATAATTTTTCCATAAGTACGTACTAGGGTGGTAACTCAACTAAGTAAATCAAACCTATGTGAGCAACTATGGAAGAAATTAATATATTACAGATTTTCACGTTACATTAGTGAAAATCAATTTAATATATTTATTAAAATTAATTACTTTAAAACGACGCAACTCATTGTAAACCCAAAGAATTACCTTGAAATTTTCATATGTAACTTATTAAATGTTGGATAATAAAGTTACGCTTTCAGATTTCTATTAACATATAAATTTGAACATTCGTCTTTTAAATAATTTAAATTTTATTACTGTAGTTAAACTTAATCATAGTAAAATTACCAATATTCTGATATAAGTTTGATTTACATTTACTGTTCTTTTTATAGTATAACATCAACAAACACTGATGGCAGAAAAAATCCGCGATCAGGTTATTGTGGCCCACATTCATATACCTAATTGCACGTTGAACAATCAGAAATCACCTGATCATGCGAATTTTTTCTGCCACTACTATGTTATCTATTGTCTAACAATCAAGCGATTCCTTTTTTTCAATGATCAGTAATTTTAGCTAGTATGCCTAAATTGGTACTTCAAGCAGATTTCAATTTCAAGCACGACATCATCACTCCTATCGATTGAATGTGATGGAAATTTTATCAATTATAATTGATTCAGACATCTTTATTAGGGTTCTGCAAGTGCCAGGCATGGGCACTACCATTTTTAATAGTACGTGCCCGGCACTTGCAGAACCCTAATCTTTATATCAATTATAATCGATTATTTTTTAGGTGGCTAACAATTTTGATCATTATCAATTCTTTTTATTGTGGTTTGCAAAATTTTGTAAATTTTATCAAATCAAAAAAAGGATATTTTTAACTTGTGTCAGTAGTTATAGATAACTACTATGCTATATTTCAAAAACTGCACTATAAAACAGTAATTTGATATACTAAGTAAAAATGTTCAGCCTCTTAAGAACCTTATGAGAACTAAGATTAAGACTGATACCTATATTATGTTATTTAAAAAAATATTTATATAAAAGCTTTTATTTATCTTAAAGCTGCACTTTAATCTTAAATTTTAATAAGGTTAGTTATTTCTAACCAATGATATAGGTTATAATAATTTCAAAAAAAAGATTTTTTTTAAATTTTGGTAGTTTTGTTACTACTTTATTGAACCTTTTATAATTTTTATAGTAAATTTATTTTATTTTATAAAGTTTACTTATTTAGGTATTTATACAAAGAGTGATCTACTCAGTTGTCTCAATGATACCTAAGTGTGATCTGCTATAGCAAACTTTACCTTATTAAGTTTCTTTTTTTAAAAAAAGAAGATGTTCTTAGATTTGCAATTAAGATTTGTCACTCATTAATAACTACCTTTTATTTTGTATTCCAACCTGTATAAATTATCTTTTATACCCAATTATAAATTTCTATATTTGTGATATTTAGAATTTCTGTTCATTTCTTTTTTATATTTTTACTACTATTTAGTAGGTCTTCCTTAAATGATATCTTTTCTGAAATCTTGTTTTGTTCTTTTTCTTCTTTATTTTTATCTTTTTTTCCTTTTAGCATTCTGTTTCTTTATTGATTGAATAATACTGATTTTTTTTTCTTATTCATTAACTATAGTACATTGTTCTCTTCAAATTTCTTTTTAAAAAAACTTTAGTTATTTATTAAGAAACATAGTTATTGTTTCTGATCTTTAGTATTTGATAAACCTTCTTTTTTAAGTAAATCTATTATGTTATCTATCAAAAAAATTTCTTGTCATTTTTGTATACTATTTTTTATATTTTTTTTTATTGTTAGACATAAACATCTTTATAAAAAGTTCTTTACTTATTAGAGATATCTCTTTGACTTTTAGTTTATCTCATATTCTGTTAAAAATCTCTTTTTCTTTCTCTAACTAGACTTTTCTATTATGTATATATATAATTAAATGTTCTGATATTTCTTCTATTTCTAAATATTTATAACATTAAATATCTTAATATAGTTTTAGACAATTTATCTTTTTATTTTTTTTAAAATATTAAGGTGAGAACTTGCAATTCAAGATTTTATTGATAGTATATTTGGCTAATGATATTTATCTTTTTTTACTATATAGAAAATAAATTGTTAATATATTTTATCTAAAAATATTATTTATTATTCTTATTTTTGTTATATCTTTGTAGTTTACTATGTTTCTTATTAATGTTTTTGTAGTTTACTATATTTCTTCATTAATATATAGAATGTTCTTTAATTTTTTTGACTAATTTACTTTTGGTATATCTCATTATATACTTTTTGGTTAAAGGTTCATTTAGCTTTAGCAAGTATTGTTAATATATTCTTAATATGTTATTTTAGTAAGTATTCTATTTTTAACTCTCTTCATATTAACTAAAAAATTATGTTCTTAGTTCTTATTTGATTTATCTGTATTGTACTATTAACTTTATCTTTTTTTTTGTATTTTTGTCTACTCTATTATTTCACCTATCTTCTGAATAAACTTTTATTTTTTTAAAAAATTATCTCTATATTATTTTTTAATACTACTTCTTTTATTGCATATAAAATTATCATATTACTTATTTTTATTCATTTTTTTGTTCTCAATATGCTAAATATCATTTTTACTAATGTCAAAGCTATATTACTATTAGATCTGATTAAGAACCCTATGAACTAAACTGAACCAAACTTTTAGATAAGTTCAAGTTCAGTTCTATTTTTAAACCAAACCTAGATCTGAACTTTTTTTAAATCTATATTTAGTCTGGTTTGATTCTGGACCTTTTAAGCAAGTTTAGTTCAGTTTGAAGTTTAGTTTAAAGTTCATAAACATGTTTAGATTCAAATATCTATAATATAAATTTTACTTAAAAATAATATGTAATATTTTTGCTAACTAAATAGCCCTTTAGAATTAGTTCCAAAGAGCTATTTAGTTAGCAAAAATCTCATATAAATGCTGTAAAATTAAAATTTAAAAACAAATACAGTTATATTTCCATAAAGAATCTCTTATATAAACACATCATAAGCATATTACTATTTATTTGTTAAGCCAACTACTATTAAATATATAAAAATAATTTTTTATTATAAGCATATAAGTATATGTTCTATATAAGAACACTTTTTGTAGGTCCTGATAGTGTGTTTATATGGGATTGCAACTGTATATAAAATATATATTCGGTTTCAGACTTTAATTTGGAACTTATTAAATCAAATAAAAATAAATATAATAGAGTCTTATATTATAGACTAGTAAACAACTTATACTAGTTTTTATTAAAGTATAAGTAATACAGTAACTATACTTTTTTTTCAAAAAAAAAACTTATACTTTTTTTTAAAAAAAAACTATAGCTTTGAAGTTTTCCCTTCAATGGTTTCTGCATTCATGATTGAAGGCATTATGCTGCCTTTACAGTTTTAGATGCCAATTACATCTGTTTTTAGTGATCATATTTTTACCAGCAGAAAATAAATGTTCAGAAGCAACAAAAGTTGCAAAAATTGCTTGATAGTTATGAACTATATAGGAAAGGTAAGAATACTAAATTTGGTGTGCCTATGTAAATATATTAAATTAATTTATTAACAGGATAGATGGGGTCTTTGCCTTAAAAATGACTTTATAATACATAGTAATCACTGATTACTATATATCATAAAGTTATTTTTAAGGCAAAGACTTTATATGCTATATTTATTATCATATTTTCTATCATGCCAATATGTCAATTTTTTTGTTTGCTTGGTTTTCTGAGATGTAATGTTCAAGTTTATTCAACTCTTCATCATCATTATCAAAGTCTGCATCTAGCATTGATTATGTAGTTGGTTTTATTGTATTGTTATAATTTAAGAAGTTATTACTAGTAGTAGTAGTTGGCATATATTTCATTTTATAAAGGTCATGCATTCTAAAAAAAAATTATATGAATATAGTGATAGAAAATTAAATATCATAAAATTGAATTTGAAGTATTTAA